AGGATCCCCTTGAGCCCAGGAGTTTGAGGCTGCAGTGAGCTATGATCACACTAATAGCTCTAACATGGGCAACTGAGCAAGACCCTGTCTCAAAAAAATGAAAAAAAAAAAAAAACAAAAAAAAACCACTATCGATCTGGTTAGGTTTTGTGTCCCCGCCCAAATCTCATCTTGAATTGTAATCCCCATAATCCCCACATGTTAAGGGTGAGATCAGGTGAAGGTAACTGAATCGTGGGGGTAGTTTCACATGATAGTGAGTGAGTTCTCATGAAAACTGATGGTTTTAAAGTTTTAGAAGGGGCTCTTCCCCCTCCGCTCAACAATTCTCCTTCCTGCCACCTTGTGAAGAAGGTGCCTTGCTTGCCCTTCCTCATCTGCCATGATTATAAGTTTCCTGAGGCCTCCCAACCATGCAGAACTGTGAGTAAATTAAACTTTTTTCCTTTATGAATTACTCCATTTCTGGCAGTTCTCTATAGCAGTATGAAAATGGACTAATACAACTACCCTATACATACCATACAATATAAAATATACCTAAATTAGCATCTTGTATAAAGGAAATCTTTTATAAGACTTTTAGGCACTTTAATAAGGTTTAAAAAAATCAAGTAGAAAATTTAACAAAAGATAAAAATGGAAGGTTCTATCTACCTTACTGACTGGTATCAGAACTGACACTCGTGTGGGGAAGGAAACTACACAGAGCAGTGACCTGGCCAAATTCACAGACTGTTAAAGGCTGAACTGTGTCCCGCTAAATTAATCTGCTATAGTCCTGACCTCAAGTACCTCAAAATGTTACTGTATTTGGAGATAGGATCTTTAAAGAGGCAGTAGGTTAAAATGAAATTAGCAAAGTGGGTGGCCCCTAATCCCATATGACTAGTGTCCTTACAAGAGGCGGCGGCTTATCCACAGACAGGCATGGAGGGAAGACACAGGGAAGAGAAGACAACCATCAGCAAGTAAGAAGAGAGACCTCAGAATAAACCAAGGCTGCTGACACCTTCATCTCAGACTTCTAGCCTCATCACTGTGAGAACATTAATTATTGTTATTAACAAAGTGCCAGTCTGTGGCACTTTATTACAGCATCCTTAGCAAAATAATAATGCGCAGATTCACAGTGAAATAGCTCTACTGGAAAGCACTGACAATTACTTTTGAAGGAGTCTATCTATGACATGCTGATCGTACTGTCAGTAGTTATGGTTGCAATAATTTTTTTTTTTTTGGAGACAGAATTTTACTCCTATTGCCCAGGCTGGAGTGCAATGGCACAATCTCGGCTCACTGCAACTTCCACCTCCCAGTTCAAAGGATTCTCCTGCCTCAGCCTCCCAAGTAGCTGGGATTACAGGTGCCCATGACCACGCCCGGCTAATTTTTTATATTTTTAGCAGAGATGGGATTTCACCATGTTGGTCAGGCTGTTCTGAAACCCCTGATCTCGTGATCCACCCATCTCAGACTCCCAAAGTGCTGGGATTACACATATGAGCCACCGCGCCCAGTCAGGTGCAATAATTTTTATGTGAGGCTTCTATGACACCTAAAAAACATCCTCTAGGTCAAAGGACAGAAAGGCTGCTGCAGTGCTTCCCCGCTCCCTTGGATTGGCATCCACTGGAAGTTACCTTCTCTTCTTCCTAGATCCAGCTTTGCTGGCCGTTTTACGTACTAATCTGTGTTTACTAAGTGCCTGCTATGAGCACTAGAGGCTGGGCACTGGGATATAATGATGAACAGACAAGTTCCCGCCTTCAGGAATTTTCGTCCAACAGGACAGAGATAAAAACTACTGCTAGATGATGTTTTTGGGTTTTTTGAGACAGTCTTCCTCCGTTGCCCAGGCTGGAATACATGGTACAATCTCAGCTCACTGCGGCCTCTGTCTCCTGAGTTCAAGCGATCCTCCTGCCTCCCAACTAGCTGGGGCTACAGGCGTGTGCCACCATGCCTGGCTAATTTGTGTACTTTTAGTAGAAATGGGGTTTTGCCATGCTGGCCACACTGGTCTCGAACTCCTGGCCTCAAGTGATTATCTACCCACCCTGGTCTTCCAAAGTGCTAGGATTACAGGCACAAGCCACCATTCCCAGCCTATATCATGTTTTGATAAATACTACAACAGTATTAGCACACAGGGAGGGAGGGACACTTAACACCCTTTGAGATTCATGGAAGGGACAAGAGGCAAAGAAGAGATGTTAGCCAAGCTCCTAGGGATTGTTCTAGACAATGAAAGAACATATACAAAAGCCATGATAAATGTACCTGGTGTGCTGTGACTCTGTGCACCAGGGGTGGAGTCCTCATCCTTGGGGAGGTAAAACTGAGAGTTATGATTTGGGATGGGCTTGGAGGCAAGGACGGCACCAACTGAATGACTCATATGAGGGAGATAAGCATTGTCAAGTGGACACAGACCATGGGGGCGGGCATAATACTTATGGAAAATGTTATTCCCTTACAATGGGAAAGCAGATGGGGAATTAGAGAACAAAAGTGCTAAGAGGCTAAAGAAAAACACAATGGAATGAATGATCAGGTTCTAACATTGTTTCCCTTAAAACCGTTAATCCCAGCACTTTGGGAGGCAAAGGAGGGCGGATCACCTGAGGTCAGGAGTTCGAGACAAGTCTGACTGACCTGGAGAAACTCTGTCTCTACTAAAAATACAAAAATTAGCTGGGCATGGTGGTGCATGCCTGTAATCCCAGCTACTAGGGAGGCTGGGACAGGAGAATTGCTTGAACCCAGAAGGCGGAGATTGCAGTGAACCCAGATCACTCCATTGTACTCTAGCCTGGGCAACAAGAGGGAAACTCTGTCTCAAGGAAAAAAAAGTTAATCACAATTACTTAACTACCTGTTTCCTGCAGATGTCATTAGTCTAACAACTGAGGGCCTGTCCTTTTATTCCTAATTTAGCAATAATCCAATGTTTATCAAAGTCAAGTTTCTCTCCATGTATCCTTAAAATTCTTTACTCTGAATTCTAAAGACAACATTAAAAAGCACAAAACTTTGCAAAAAAAAAAAAACTGCAATTTATATACCTAATAAGGGGACTTGTATCTAGAATACACAAACAACTTTTACAATTCAGTGACAGAAAGACAACACATTTTTTAAATGGGCAATGGAATGGGGCACAGTGATTCACATCTGTAATCCTAGCATTTTGGGAGACTGAGGCAGGTGGATCACTTGAGCCCAGGAGTTCCAGACCAGCCTGGGCAACATGGCAAAAGCCTGTTTCCATAAAAATTAGCCGGGCATGGTGGTGCAGGCCTGTAGTCCCAGCTACTCAGGAGGCTGACATGGGAGCACTGCTTAAGCCCAGAAAATGGAGGATGCAGTGAGCCAGGATTGCGCCACTGTACTCCAGCCTGGGCAACAGAGCAATACCTGGTCTCAAAAAAAAAAGGGCAAAAGAACTGAATAGACATTTCTCCAAAGAAGATATGCAAATGGCCAATATATGCACATGAAAACATGTTCACCATCATTAGTCATTAGGGAAATGCAAATCAAAACCACAGTAAGACATATCTTCACAACAACTAGGATGGCTAAAATCAAGCAGACAGTATCAAGTGTTGCTGAGAATGTGGAGAAATTCTCCACATCATATACTACTGCAGGGAATGTAAAATGAAGCAACTGCATCAGGAAATAGTCTGGTGGTTCTTGAAAAGGTTAAACACAGAATTACCATATAACCCAGAAATTCCTAGGTTTATACCTAAGAGATATGAAAATATATGTCCATACAAAAACTTGCACAGGCCCAGCCATGGTAGCTCATGCCTGGAACCCTAGCACTTTGGAGGCCAAGGTGGGTGGACTGCCTGAGCTCAGGAGTTTAAGTCCAGCTGGGGCAACAAGGCAAAACCTACTAAAAATACAAAAAAAAATTAGCCAGGTGTGGTGGTGTGTGCCTGTAGCCCCAGCTACCTGGGAGGTTGAGGAACAAGAATCCTTTGAACCCAGGAGGTGGAGGTTGCAGTGAGCCAAGATCATGCCATTGCACTCCACTCTGGGGGACAGAGCAAGACTCTGTCGCAGAGAACAAAAAAACAAAACCAAAAACAACTTGTAGGGGCCAGGCACAATGGCGCATGCCTATAATCCCAGCACTTTGGGAGGCCAAGGCGGGTGGATCACGAGGTCAGAAAATTGAGACCATCCTGGCCAACATGGTAAAACTCCATCTCTACTAAGAGACAAAAAATTAGCTGGGCATGGTGTTGTGTGCCTGTAGTTCTAGCTACTTGGGAGGCTAAGGCAGGGGAATCACTTGAACCCAGAAGGCAGAGGCTGCAGTGAGCCAAGATTTTGCCACTGCACTCCAGCCTGGTGACAGAGTAAGACTCGTCTCAAACAAAAACAACAATAACAACAACAAAAAGCCTTGTACATGAAAGGTCATAGGAGCATTATTTATACTGCCAACAAAAAAAAAGAGAGACAACCCAAACATCTATCACTCTGGCCTGGGAGAGAGAGAGTGAGAGCCTGTCTCAAAAAAAAAAAAAAAAAAAAGCGGGGGCAGGGCAAGGTGGGTAATCCCAGTACTTTGGGAGCCGAGGAGGGTGGATCACGAGGTCAGGAGATTGAGACCACCCTGGCCAACATGGTGAAACCCGTCTCTACTAAAAATGCAAAAATTGGCTGGGTGTGGTTGCATGTGCCTATAGTCCTGGCTACTCAGGAGACTGAGGCAAGAGAATCACTTGAACCTGGGAGGCAGAGGTTGCAGTGAGCCGAAGATTCCGCCACTGCACTCCAGCCTGGCGACAGAGTGAGACTGCCGCCTCAAAAAAAAAAAAGGATACAAAAAAGCATTTTGTAAAACCCAGCCCTGTGCAATGTAATTACATTTATTTTAATTACTCGACTCTATTACCACAGATAACTAAGAACTAGAAGCAATTTTTCCATTTAATAAATACTAAATTATATGTACTTAGTTGTCTTTTTTCCCCCAGCTTTATCAGAAAAAAAGCAAATCCATCACAAGCTTAGCTAAAGATGGTGATTTGAATCCATGTAACAACCTTCACAGAACCTGATACATACCACTTCCCCTCCAGACTTCAGCTAAATGGCAGCTGCCTTCTCCAGGCTCCTTGCAAAATTCAACAACATCTCGACAGGTTGTTTCTGGTGTTACCGGAACTTCTGTTAAAATCTGTTCATTGTTGCTCAAGAAAACGGTTAATATCATCTGTAAGAGAAAAGATTAAAGCTATGATTTAGATTCCTTATCATAAAGAGATTAATCTGTAAATTCAAAGTGATCCCTCCACCCCCGCAAAAAAAAAATGCTTACAGGATTATTTTCTGGAAATAATAATAGATAAGCTGATTCTAAAGTCATGTAGAAAGATGAAAAAGACAAGTCAAGAAAATTCCAAATGAGGAGAGTTCTAGAAAAGAAAAAGCACTTGATAAAGCCTCATTATAAAGCCTCAAAAGAACATGGCACCAGTACATATATAGACCAATGGGGCAAAGTCATGTCCCAGAAATAGACCCAATTACCTATGAGAAAATGGCAAATGATGAGGGAGGTATCTCAAAAACCAAGGAGGGAAAAAGACTGTACAGTGAGTGATGTTTGAGCAAAATGTGTCCGACTGGAAAAAAATGATTTCATACCATACGTTGTACAGCAGCGCAAGTTCCTAATAGATCAAGTACTCAGATACAGACCCTAAAACCATAAACAGTGCAGAGCAAATCCCTTTTCATGACCATGGACTATAGAAGTTGTTTCTAACTAGGACTCAAAGACCAGACACGATTTTTAAAGACTGATATTCAAGTACTCATAAAGCAAAAGGACAAAGCAGGGAAAAATATTTGCAACTTGTATTACAAATAAATAGCTGATCTCCTCAATACATAAAGCACTCCTTTCTTTTCTTTCTTTTTTTTTTTTAAGGATGGGGTTTCACCATAATGGCCAGGCTGGTTTTGAACTCCTGATCTCAGATGATCCACCCACCTGGGCCTCCTAAAGTGCTAGGATTACAGGCATGAGCCACCACGTCCGGCTACATAAAGCACTCCTAAAAAATGATAACAAAAAGGCCAAAAATCCAATTCCTTAAAAGAAACTGGCCAGGGAAGTGTACTAATACATCACAGTAAAAGAAAAATAAATGATCCTTAAACAGAAAAATACCTTATAGTGTAATTGAAAAGATAAAAATTATCTGGCCTTATTTTATTTTACTTTTTGGAGACAGGGTTTCATTTTGTCATCCAGGCTGGAATGCAGTGGTGAGATCTTGGCTCACTGCAACTTCTGCCTCCTAGGCTCAAGCGATCCTCCTGCCTCAGCCTCCCAAGTAGCTGGGACTACAGGCATGTGTCACTATATCCAGCTAATTTTTGTATTTTTTGTAGAGACAGGGTATCATCATGCTGCCCAGGCTGGTCTCAAACTCCTGGGTTCAAGCAATCCTCCCCCTTTGACCTCCCAAAGTACTGGGATTATAGGCATGAGCCACCGTGCCCAGCCTTTTTTTTTTTTTTAGTTTCAAAAAATACTAACACTTTGATCTAGCATCTTAAGACATCATATTAAAAGGAAAATTTTATTCTTGCTTCCCTTGCCTAGGTGGAACAATGAAAGAGATACTTTAAAAACAATACACCTGGCCAGGCGAGGTGGCTCACGCCTGTAATCCCAGCACTTTGGGAGGCCAAGGTAGGCGGATCACCTGAGGTTGGGCAGTCGAGACCAGCCTGACCAACATGGAGAAACCCCATCTTTACTAAAAATATAAAATTAGCCAGGCATGGTGGCACACTCCTGGGAGGTTGAGGCAGGAGAACCACTTGAACCTGGGAGTGGAGGTTGCCGTTAGCCAAGATCACACCATTATACTCCAGCCTGCGTGACAGAGGGAAACTCCATCTCAAAAAAAAAAAAGAAAAAAAAAACACACCTAAAGTAAAATTTAGGCCGGGCGTGGTGGCTCCCATCTACAATCCCAGCACTTTGGGAGGCCAAGGTATGTGAATCACCTGAGGTCAGGAATTCAAGACCAGCCTGGCCAGCATGGCAAAACCCCGACTCTGCTAAAACAAAACAAAACAAAACTTAGTGAGGTGTGGTGGCATGTGACTGTAGTCCCAGCTACTTGGGAGGCTGAGGCAGGAGGATCGCTTGCACCTGGGAGACATGAGGTTGCAGTGAGCCAAGATTTCACCACTGTACTCCAGTGACAGGATGAGATTTGTCTAAAAAAAAAAAATAAAGTAAAATTTAAAACAAAGATTTTCTTTAATCAAAAAGTATTATAAAACATTTCTGTCTAATCTTTGCTAAAAGGTCAAGAAACAGGCCGGGAATGGTGGCTCATGACCATGGTATCAGCTGGAGGCTGAGGTGGGAGGATCACTTGATCCGCCCCCCAAGTCTGAAGCTGCAGTGAGCTACGATCACACCACTGCACTCTAGCCTGGGCAACAGAGTGAGACTTTAAAATCTCTGCATTCCACTAAGTATATAATTTTAGTTTGTTGTTAAGGTATCTTTTTTTTCAGCCAGGCGCAGTGGCTTACACCTGTAATCTCAGCACTCTGAGAAGCCGAGGTGGGTGGACCAGTTGCGATCAGGAGTTTGAGACCAGTCTGGACAACATGACGAAACCCTGTCTCTACTAAAAAATACAAAAAATTAGCCAGGCGTGGTGGTCTGCACCTGTAGTCCCAGCTACTCAGGAGGCTGAGGCATGAGAATCACCTGAACCCTGGGGAGGGGGCAAAGGTTGCAATGAGCCGAGATTGTGCCACTGCACTCCAGCCTGGGCAACACAGCAAGATTCTGTCTCAAAAAAGATTTTTCTTAGAAGTATCCTACATTCCTACATTCTGAAATTAAGCATCTCTACATCTATGATCAGATTTTATGTAACCAAAATTGATAACAGTTTTCAACTGGTTTCCTTCTAGAAGGCAGAAGCATACCAATCACCACCAACTATAACTCCTCACTGTTACTATTTCATTTTCTAAATGTAGGTCAAGTAAAGTTATTCCCTTGCTTAAAATATTTAAGAGCTCCTCACTGCCCAACAGCAGCTCTTCCTAAAACACCTTCTCTGGTAGATAAGCAGGAGATAGCTTTCTTATCTGAGCACTTCTTAGAGTCTAATGTTGTAATAACCATGTATATTCCTTTTTGCCCCCCCCTCCAGAGAATCTCAAGAGGCTTGGATTTCTATAAAATATACTCTGAGAAAACAAGATAAACTACACACTCCTAGCCTTCCAGGTTCTAAGTCTCTCTGAGCACTAAACCTCCCTCCATCAACTCCAATAGAGTTCTCCCTGGCAGATGTCCCTCTGCCCAAGTACCTTTCCTGCTTGCTTATAAATTCCTATTCACCCTTCAAAACTCAGCTCCTAACCACCATCGCTGCAAAACATCCCTTTACTGCCTCTGCTCACCAGGGAGGCCACATGCTCCTTCCTTTGCAACCTGGTCTTCACAAAGATCTCTACTGCATTACCTCAATGACTCCCTCCCCTCGTAGACTCTGCACTCTTCCCAGCACTTCACTGTTGAGTCTTTAATTTCCTGTTGCTGAGTCAGGACCTGACGTTGGGGAGGCACACTAAAACCTGGTGGACTCCATGAATGACACACAAAATACAGAACCCCCACCATGCCCTAAATTGAGAAAATATATATATATATACACACACACACACACACACACACACACACACACACTCGAAGTAAGATACATCCAGTCTGTTTAATAAACAAGCATCATCCCTCTTCCATTAACGCCTTTCTATTTTACAGTAAATTTTTTTTTTTGAGACAAGAGTTTTGCTCGTTACCCAGGCTGGAGTGCAATGGCACGATCTCGGCTCACCGCAACCTCCGCCTCCTGGGTTCAGGCAATTCTCCTGCCTCAGCCTCCTGAGTAGCTGGGATTACAGGCACGCGCCACCATGCCCAGCTAATTTTTGTATTTTTAGTAGAGATGGGGTTTCACCATGTTGACCGGGATGGTCTCGATCTCTTGACCTCGTGATCCACCCGCCTCAGCCTCCCAAAGTGCTGGGATTACAGGCTTGAGTCACCGCACCGCGCCCGGCCTACAGTAATTTTTTTTTTTTTTTTAATTAAGTAACAGTTAGCTCTGCTCACTAACCCATAAGAATTTATAAAATTGGGGGCTTTGTATGCTGAAGGAAGTAGCCCGGAAGCTACAGAATTTGGAATAAAATAGGTAATTACTAGATCCAGAACAAACATCAAACCAACTGGAACGTATTTTTATTCTTAGACATATTTATTCTACAGTTGTAATGGTATTTTCCAATGTGACTTCTATGCTCTTAAAGATCTAAAAATATGCTTTCCCAAATCATGCTTTACAAATTGAAGTTTCAAATGGGTAAAAACAAAATTTTTTTAACAACTTCCTTTAAATGCTATTCCTACAGTTCAGTAGTAACAAGCAGAATGCCCCGTTTCACTCGGTTCTTCAGAATCTGTTTTTGTTCCTGTCCCTTACCCTTCCACCTACTAAGGCATCCCAGGGTTTTTCTCAACTCTCTGAGCTAGCAAAACATTTGCACAATCACTGCCTCTAGAAGGCAGAAGCATACAAATACAGCACATGTAAAGCAGCACCCTTTGGTACTCAGAGGCACAGCTTATGCTCACTCGCTCTGAAAAGGAGAATTCTTTATGAACGCGTTGTCAGAATGAAGGATGGTTCGGCACTATTCTGCGGTACTTTCTGAATTACCAAGACTCTTCAGCTCGTGAGTTCAACGTGACGAGGGAGGGGGAGGCATGTGGCAGACTGTAAATCTGAACACTTACTGTTAAAAGAGAAGAACATCCAGAAAACTTACCCAGACGTCACTAAACATTATTTCAATTTCTTACACCATTTTATCGCCCTTAATAACTCTGTCTTTCCTGATTTTAGCAAAATTCATTTTCCCTAATCTCTATTATTCAAAGCTAATTTCATTATGTTAATGGCAGATTTTAAAGCTTTCTAGAGAAATTAAGCTGGTATTGACCTGGATGGTACGTATTTCCCTAAAATTGAAGCTGAAAAGCCATGTGACTGCTGTTATTCTAGCAAGATTTCTTTAGCTTAAAAATAACTAAAGTCGCCCCAACACAAATGTACTGATCCTTGGTGCACTTTTTGTTTATATTTTAATAACATTCAGAAC